GCCCTGGGGGCGGGGCCAGCACTGCAGGCCTGGGGATCGAACCCCGGCCTCTGTGTCTGCCTGAGCAGGCGCTTTAATCCGCGGAGCCATCTGGCTGCTCCTGTTTCAGGTTCTTAAGGGAGACAATACTATGTTTACACATGTGAGTCTGATTTATTTCCCTGATGAATATGGTAAGTAATTCATCCAGTTACCTATAAAAGCCTCAAGTTTATCTTTCTTTATAGCTGAGTAATACTCAATTGTGTAAAAATATCACATCTTTTTTTATCCATTCTTCACTTGGTGAGCATTTGGGTTGTTTCCAAGATTTAGTCAAGATGAGAAATTGAACTGCTATAACATAGATACACAGAGGTCACTGTGCTATGAGGTTTTCAGTTCTTCTGGAAAAATACCCAGAAGGGAAATAGCGAGAGTGAATGAGACCTCCACTGCTAGCTTTTCCGGGGAATGTCCACACTGATTTCCACAGCGGTTGTTCCAGTCTAACGCGCACCAACAGTGGAGAAGGGCTCTTCCCCTCCCCTCCCCCACAGGCCCACCAGCATTTGGCATTGATTTCCTGATGAGAGCCATCCTTTCCGGGGTGAGATGGGATCTCGGAGCTCAGACATTTGCATCGGCTTCTCACTACATTTCTGTTGACCATTTGTTTTCCCCAAAACAAGTTAATCTTGTAGAGTCCTTTGGGAAACCTTAAGGGAACCAACTGAGAAATTTCAAAGCTATGTTTGTCAGTGTGTAGTAGCAAATCGTTTCACAGAAAGGATTGTAAATGCTTTCTTTCTGAACGTCATTGCTGTGGTTGGAGTGCAGAACGTTCTGAGCACTTCCCAGCTCTGTCTCAATGTCCCTAACCCTCTCCCTCATGAGCACATATGAGTCATCTCATAGCAGACTGGAACCCTCTCTCTGCACTAAAGCAAAAGTAAAAAAGGAAAAATTGTCCTTAATGTTTCTTTGCTGCTCTTGTTTTATCTCCTAGAAGTTTAATTTTCTTTGCTTCAGAAATTTTATCTAGTGCTAACGTGGTCTTTTAAGGATTTTGTTAGAAGACTGTGTTACTACTCACATACATGCTGTTCCTTTGTATTGAAAGAATGTACTGATACAAGTACTGCGTAGTGTGTGTTGATGGGACCAAGAAAGGGCTGCTTAGTGAATGAAAATTCTTTCCATACTAATTACCTATAAACCATTCACTTGGGTTTTTTTGTTTTGTTTCTTGGGGGGGGGGTTTGTTTGTTTTTTTGAGACAGGGTCTCGCTATGCAGTTCAGTCTGGCCTTAAACTCACTATGTAGCCCAGGATGGCCTCCAACTTGTGGTCCTTCTGCCTCAGCCTCTTGAGTGTTGGAGTCACAGACATGCGGCACCACCAAAAGGCACAACTGTATCTTTTGAAACACATACAAGCCACTTCTAGATGACCCCATAACTTTTAATTCAACTTCTTATTCATTAATTAATGTTTTAAGTCAAAGTAATCTCTTCTCGGTGCAAAATTGTAAGTCTTTTATTATCTTTGATGTTGTTGACATCCGGTACACAATTTCTGGTGTTTCTGTATCTTAATGAATATTTCCTTTTTCCACTTCACCATTTGAGATGACTTCATAGTCTGCACACTTGACTTCTATCATTTGTCTGGTCTGTAAATGCCAGTGTAGCTGATTTAAACTCTTCCCTTTGGGAATTCCTACTTACGCCGACTCCTTTGGCTTCCTCGAAGGTTCTTCGGTTCTATGCGATATGGGATGACACAGACAGTATGTTTGGTGAATGTCAGAACTACGTCATTCACTATTACCTCATGGATGACACGGTGGAGATTCGTGAGGTCCATGAGCGGAATGATGGGAGAGACCCTTTTCCCCTGCTGATGAACCGCCAGCGCATTCCCAAAGTCTTGGTGGAAAACGCAAGTACATTTGATGTTAAGGCTTCTACATTTATCCTTGAGTCTTTGTTTTGGATCTCAAAGGAGTGACTAAATCAGAGTGGTTATTTCCGTCCCCTTGAGAGGCTATGGCCATGTTTCCCAGGTGCTCAGCAACTGTCACTCCTGTAGCTTCCCACCTTTATCTTGCTCTCTGGCCAGAAAGGCCTGCCTCCTAGCCCACCGGGGAAGGCCTGCCTCCTAGCCTGGGAGGGCACTCGGTGTACAGAACAAGGTAACAAAGACGAAGCAGCAGTAGGAGAGTCACACCAAGAAAGGTGGATGGGGGATTCAAAACTGAAACACTTATCTAGGAGTAGATTTTTAATTTGTGTGTGTGTGTGTGTGTGTGTGTGTGTGTGTGTGTGTGTGTGTAGGGTCTCACTACATAGCTCCGACTCAGAGTCATGCTCCTGTTTTCAACTTCCCCAGTGCTGGGATTAGAGGCAGGTGCCACCGTACCGACTTTAGTGTACTTTTCAAAGAGCTCTATTTCCATCTAGAAAGACAGCTTAGCATTTCCTGACGTGCTTTCCCAAATTTGTTTCTCATCTTGACACTTTCTGAGCAGTAAGTTTCTGCGTGGTTTAACTTGAGGCCAGGAAAGGCTCCTGCGCTTGTGGGGGCCCGTTGTGTCGAGCCTGGCTCTTTCTTTGCTTGTTTAACTCGTGGTGCTGGAGAGTAGGAAGGCAGCGAGGCGTCAGGGGACAGCTGCCGGCACTGCTTCATAGGGTTGGCGGGCTTGACTCAGCTGCCTACTCTGCAGTGAAATGACTTTCCCCTGCAAGCATACCTTCTTGGTCACAGGTCATGGTACCTCTCCTGTCTGGGTGGGAGACAGAATTCTATATCTCCTTCCTTGATTGTTTGGTCTTTTTACTGTATCTTGGGGAAGTAGGAGATAAAACATTGTACACAGAGAGTAGGGCCTCTGTGTCAGTTAAGGTGATAAACAAATCTGACAGTCTGAAAGCTGACTTCACCCTGCCACCACGTGCTGCTTGCCTCCTGCAGGTGCTGTGTTTTAAATGGGTGTTACCTGTGGGCAAGCCCCCGGGGGTTGTCATCGTGAGGTGAGGTGATCAGAATGTACCTGCGGTTCACCCCAATTCCCGTGCGGTAGGTGGGAGCGGCGGACAGGATGTCTGTGGAAAACAAACAGATGTTAACCGCATGGTGCCGTGTGGAGAGAATGAACCGACCCAGTGACGTTTGCACAGTGTGAGATTTACGTGCAATGTGGAACCAGGGTCCACATTCAGCCCAAAAGGTGCGTCACTGGCGAGGGAGACCGCGGCTGCCGTGGTGGTTCTGCCCAGATCCCAGGAGCTCTGCACGCTGAACCACAGGCCAGGTGCGGTGGATGCGGTGTCCGGGCCCAGCCGCGTCCCAGAGAGAGGCTCCTGGGGGTGGGTCACCCTTCGGAGGTGCCCTCTGCCACATGCTGATGTGAAATAAATTATGCCGTCTGTCAGGAAATTAGAAAAATAACAAACTAAACCAAATTCACAGAAGAAAAGAACAAAGATCAGAGCAGAAAAAAATGGCATGGAGACTTAAAACCTACAGAAGATCAGTGAAAAGAGATCTAGTTCTTTGAAAAGATGAACAAAATGGGCAAACCATAGTCTGACTGAGAAGAAAGAGAAGACCAGTGAAAATCACAGATGACAAAGGACATATAAAAATTACTATGCACAGCTGTAGGACAAATTACATAACCTGGAAGAAAATGGACAAATCTCTGGGTATTTCAGCCTCCCGAGACTGGCATGAGAAATACCGAACTAGAGTAGACCAGTGACGGGGAACGAGACAGAAGCATTAAGAAGCAGCTGCCTATCAAAGGAAGGCACAGGCCGAGGGTGCTGCTGCTGGGCTAAGTCACACATTTAAAGAGCTGTAGCAATTATTCTTAGATTGTGCACCCTGAAAATGAAAGAAGAAAGAATTCTTCTAAACATTCTTTGATGCCAGCATTACATTAATAAAATAATCATTCAAAGATACACGAAAAGTGTGGGTCAGTCTCCTTATTGAATATAGATGTAGAAATCCTCAACAAAATGCTCTCTGGCTGCGTCCAGCAGCTCACTAGAAAGATGACCCACTGTGCTTAAGCTGGGTGCAGGCCAGTGTGAGCACGGTTCAGATAGACCAAGTAATAGAGACAGTGTACCGCCTCATACAGCGAAGGACAGAAGCCACGCTGTGTCATCTCAACAGATGCAGAAAAAGCATTTGACCAAACTTAACATCCCTTTATAATAGCAGAGAAGCAAACTGACATAGAATGTGCACCTCAGCTTGATGATGACCACTTAGAAGCCAATAGCTATGGGTTGGGGAGATAGCTCAGTGGTATGAGCACCTGCCTGGCAAGCACAAGGCCTAGGTTGGATCCCCATCCTGCATGCTGTGCCAGCCCTGGAACTGGCCACTGACACCGGCCATGGTGGCACCCATCTGTAACCCCAGTACTTGGGAGGCTGAGACAGAAGGATCATTACAAGTCTGAGCTACATAGCAAGACCTTGTACCAAATAAATAAGTAAAAGATTGGGGGGAAAAAGAGCCAAGAGCTAACGTTTTCCTGAATGAGGGAGAAATTGGACATTTTCCAAGTTCTGCATCAAAACAGGGATCTCCACCTTTATTCCACATGGAGCTGAAAGTCCTTGTCAGAGCAGCCAGTCAGAACAAGACAACCTTGCAAGTGGAGGCTAGAGGTCCGCTCGTCACTGGCAGATGGCGTGAGCTTGCTCATACAGAAAGCCCCGGACGCTGCTCAAAGCAACTAGAACCAATAAATGAGTTCAGCAGGTTTACAAGACAGGAAGTAAGCATGTAAAAATTAGTAGTATTGCTATATACCAGTGGCAAACTACTTGAAATAGAAATGAAGAAAGAAATAAATCATCTTTACAATAGATAAAAAAAATCTAAAAATAAATTTAGCCATCCTTTGTCCATGGATTGGAAGACTCAAAATTGTCCACATGTCCTTGGTGCCCAAGGCAATTTACAGACTTGATGTAATATCTGGTCAAAATGTCAAAATACTGGTGACTTTCTTCCCTGCACTAGAGAAGCCAATCTTAAAATCTATATGGAACCACAAGACACACACACAAACAAAGCATGTAATCAAAGTTGCTTGGAGAAAGAATGAAGCAGGAAACATTATGCTACCTGATGCAAAAATATACTGCAAGGCTGAAGTCCTCAAAACAACTTAGTACTGGTGTACAAACAGACATATAGATCAGTGTAATAGAATAGAGTCTACATGTAACACACACACACACACACACACACACACACACAGAGCAAGCTAAGTATTTCTGATAAAGTGCTAAGAATATGCACTGGCTAAAGGGAAGTTCTCAGTACATACTGCTAGGAAAATTTGGTATCCATGTGCTAAAAATGAAACTAAACCTCTGTCTTTCTAGTATAAATCAACTGAAGGAGTTTGATCCCTGGCTCCACATGCTGCGCCAGCCCTGCCCCTGGGTGCACTGAGCTGGCCACCGAGACTGGTACAGTGGTGCATGCCTATAATTAAGGGGTCAGAAGGCTGAGACAGGAGGATTGCTATGAATCCAAGCTGTGTAGTGAGACCCTGTGCCAAATACGTTTTTTAAAAAATCAACTGAAAATAGATTTAAGACCTAAATGTGGGCTGGTGATTTAGCTCAGTGGCACAGCACCTGCCTAGAAAGCGTGAGGTCACAAGTTCAATTCCCAGTACCAAAAAAAAACCCACCCAAACAAAAAACTAAATGTGAGACACAAAACTATGAAACTTTTAGAAGAAAACAGGACAGATACTTTTTAGGACATTGGAATGGACAAAGATTTGGAAAGGACAAGATCCCAAAGAACAGGTGGAGAAAAATAATGAGACAAATGGAAGGATGTCAAACTAAAATTTGCTCCACAGCAAAGGAAAAAATCAAGCGTGTGAAAAGACAACCTACAGAATGGGAGAAAATATTTGCAGACCAAACTTTTGACAAAGGGTTAATATTCAGAATATAAGGCACTCAAAAATCTCAATTGCTAAGCAAATAAATAAATCCAGTTTAAATTTGGACAGAGACTATCACAGGGTCTGAATCCCTTGAAATCTCAGACCCTAGATTTGTCTCTGCCTTATCCACGCGACTTAAGTTTAAAGTTTCTGTACACGGCTATGGTCTCCTTAGCTTCTCCGCTGAGGGGATTTCATCAGGGCTGTATGGAGAGGATGGGCAGCTTGGCGAGTCATGTCGGCTCCTAGAGAGGTAGGAAGCACCTTTGTGCGCGAGTCATTAGTCACAAGGGGGTAGGGGAAAGACTTAAGCTCCTGTCAGTTAAATGATTCCCTGAATCAGAGTGGTGGCATTGAAGAAATGGCATTAAATTGAGTCTGAAAGACAATTATCCAGTGGTTGATTTTTATTAAATTCAGGTAAGCCTAAGTTAAATACCTGCCATAGCAATCATTTCATTCCCTAAGAGCTATGGAGCATCTTTCTTTATTATTATTTATTTATTTAGTACAAGGTCTACAGTGTCTCACTACACAGATCAGACTCATAGTGATCCTCTTGTTTTCAGCCTCCCAAGCGCTGGGATTACAGGCGAGTGCCACCACGCCCAGTCTCGGTCACTGTCTTAGTGCGCCCCAGGGGCAGGGCCTGCCTGGCATGCTGGGAATCGAGCCCAGTCCTTGTGCCTGCCCAAGCAGGCGCTCTAGTCTGCTGAGCTATCTGGCCAGCCCTTACGGGGCATCTTTATTGGCTCATTTAGTCATCACATAATGGGAATTGAGCAGACTTATGTATGAACGAATGATTGGAATGAGAGATTGGAAACTAAGTCCAAGTGTATGAGCCCAGTCTGTGAGACCCTGCAGACCCTGTACCAAATACGTAACCCCCTCCAAAAAAAAATAAAAACCAAAGCCTGAAGGCTTTATAATCTTATGAGGAATGTACATCAATAGCAGGTATCTACACTATATCCACATTACCACATTGATAATACTACAATTTAAAAGAATATTTATAGAATTGCATACAATCATACAGGTCTTGAGACATTCATTTTCAGTAATATGATAGATTGAATATTTGTAGGAATGCTTACTGATAAACTACAATTTCAACATAAATATAGCTCCTTTTTTATGCTATATTCAGAATGCTGGAGATAGTGACAGAGTAAGGAAAAGTCTCAAGAACCAGATGTGAAGGAGGACTCACCAGTTCGCAAGTACTAGAGGTGGGGTTTGCCCAAGGCCACACGAGATACACAAGAGCAATGGCTGGCGGGACGAACAGGGTACCCGGCTAGGGCTGCCGCTGGAGCCGGGCGCTCGGAAGGGTGCCCTCAGCGGGGAACATTCTGCCCAAGGGCTGCTTTTCTCTCCAGCCTTGACTCCGTATCAAAGAAAGAAAGAAGCCTAAGAAGTTTCGAGAAACCCAACATTCGCACGTTTGGGCTCAGGATTGCGCTCACATATTTATATACTGTGTACGTTCTCACAATGCCAAATTGAAAGTTCAGATCTGACTCGCCTGGCTTAGTCATGCCACAGTTGCCAGATAAAATATGCAAGCCATTCTGGGAGGATTGCTTTTTAAACCCAGGCTTCAAAAAATTCCCACAAACACAAATCAGTAAATACACCTTAATGCGAAGCATTTCCGCGCGATTAGAAGCAGCCGCGCCCGCGCACGCACACGCCTTCTTTCCTCCTCACACACATTGCCGCAACAGCGATAAAAACAATACTCTCTGTCAGGAAGTGGGAGAAATACCCTATAATTTACAGTTGCAAAGAGGGCAAATACTTGAACTATAGAGAGTAAAAATAAATATATTCAATATGTTTAACAAAAAGAAAAAATTACAGATTACTGAGAAGTTACCAAATTATTTTCCCAAATAGGTTTGGGAAAGAACCCAAGAGAAGTTCTGAAAAGTGGAAACATGATCGCTGGTACAAGACAGTCAATAGAAGGTAAAACGGTAGACTAGCCACGCAGTGGGACCCCATCCGAAAGCTGGGGACGCTGCAGGAGGGCTTGCTATCCGTGGACAGCAGAAGCGCCGCGGCGCTGGCTGGAATTCCAGCTGAAGAAGCGGATGACGAGTAAGGCAGAAGCAGCGCGCGCTCAGCGATGTTCCCCAGTTGCTGACCCTGAAAGTTAGAAAAGTAATGAAAGGGTAAATGAAAAAGGGACTTAAGTCAAAGAAACAATAAAATAATCCTCGTCTTAGTTACTTTTCTCTCGCTGCTGGGACAAAATACTTGACACCAGAATTAAGGAAGAAGGATAGGTTTATTTAGCTCCCCGTTTGTGCAGGTTTCAGTCCGTACTTGTCTGGCTCCAGGGCAGAGGGCAGCCTTTCATGGTGGCAGAAAACAGCCAGAGCAAAAGAGCGGCGTGGCAGCAGCTGCAGCCGGGGTGAGCCTCGCTCCCTTCCTCGGGTTGCATTCAGGCCCTGCGGCCAGGCCGGTGCAGCTCTCACACCTGTAAGCCCAGCCTGGGTTCATGAATTAGTCACAAACTCTAGAAGCCGCCCCATGGCTGCAAGAGGCTTTGGGGGACAGCTAGGCACAAACCATAACAAGCCTGAAAATAAAATCGAAATCAAGGACAAAAGAGATTTGTTAAACCAAAGGCGGTTTCTTTGAAAGGACTAATAAAATGACCAACTATTGAGGAGGTTCTGCAGAGGGTGAGGGAAGCACAGCACTGTGGGCTCGTTGGTGTCTCGAGAAACAGCGGCAGGAACAAGGAAAAGATAGACAGGAGACAAGAGCAGGGTCAGGTGGAGGCACATGCCTGACTGGCAGCGACCCCCACACAGCAGTAGGGGTGTTTATTTGTACCTTTGCAAAGTTCATAATGCGACCCAAGGTTGCCTGGTGGCTCGAAGCTGAGCGTACCAGGCAGGATGCTTTCTCAGGTCCGAGGCAGCCTGGCCGCTAACAGCACTGAGGCCTGGCTGTGCCTTACACATGTGCCCATTTCCAGTTTCAGCTGCTCCCAACAAGGCACATACTTATAAAATATTAAAAACAGAAGAAGAGTCATTTTAAAAGTGCCAAAGGGTTTAAACATAAGAGAAAAACAAGTTTTTTGCCAATGAATTTGAGAATGAGCACATTTTCAGAAAATTATACAGTAGCTTACTCAAGAAGAAATAGGCAGCCATTGTCTGTAGCCATTAAAGAAACAGATTCAGTTTTTAAATTCCCCACAGAAAAAAAAAAAAAAAGCAGCTGTAGATAAATTTTATAGATGGTTTTTACCAAGCACTCAATTTGAGAGAAAAATTAAAAGAACTTAGTTCAGTCACTTAAAACAGGTGAGGGAAACCAAAGGCATCATGGGAACGAAAAGCTACAGTAAATCTCACTCATAAACAAGGGTCCAGCAGTCCTAAAGTGCAGGTGTCCCTTCTCCAGCAGTCCTAATGTGTCCCTGCTCCAGCTAACTAGCGCATGAAAAACTGCTGAGCCACACAGGCCGCGGCTGGGTGCACACACAAGGGCCGCATCTCCTGGAAGAGTGCGTCCTTAGACGCGCAAGCCGCGGTGGACTGGGTGCCGCTGCCTGCCGCCTCCTGGACTGCTGCAGGGGACTCGGGGCCAGGCAGTGGGCACGGAAGACGGGTCCCTGAACGTAGAGCTCTTACTGTGCACGTTTGGGAAAATGGTTGCGCCGCCTCGCGGTGAAGACCGTCGGAATCAAGTCTTTAATTCTGCGACAGCAGAATCAGCCTTTCCCCCGGTTTTCTGTCTTAGCAGTCAGGAAAATGCAAGTGTACTTTTCGTTCTCCTCGTGATGGGCTCCTGCACGCAGACTTCGGCAGCTTTCCCACTCCACCAGAACTTCCTGACGTGATTTCCACGAAGGCCACGCTGTCGGGGATGAGTTCTCAGAAGACGCTGTGGCCACACTGGATTTTCTTCAAGCGTGGAAGGCTGGCTCTGCATTTAAGAATCTGTTGGTTCCCACAGGAATGGATTACTGTAATCGTCTCATTAACTGTCTCTGCCAGCTTCTGCCTCCAGCGCTAGGTCACGCTGTCCCATAGCAGTGATCACGATGGAAATGAAACCGTTCCTCAGGGAGTTGTTTACTATCTGCTTCCCAAAGAGAGTATTTTCTCCAGGAAGGCAGCATCGTGTCTGTATTCTTGCTCCTTGTAATTCCAGTACTTAGCAGTGTCTGTGGCCTAGAGAGCCTCCTGAGAACCATTGCACGCACACATGAGTGGGCGGGAAGCCCAACCGAGTCGCTTGGCTCCTTCCCAGATCTGAGCCTCAGGCCTGCACAAGGTCATTCCTTTTTTTCCTCCCAGGGTGGTTTCCTCTAAAAACTGACTCTGCTAAGCTCAGTGATTTTTGCTAATAGATCCAACTGAATATGGGAAAGGGGCTTTACACACACCATCTGGGGTGTTATTTACTTACCCCGTTACCAGGGAACGGGAAGAGGATAGCCTTATGTTCCTGTGGGCATGTGTCCCTGCCGCAGCCCCTGTGCACATCCCTGGTCCCGAGAAGCCTGGCCCTTGAGTCACTCCTTCCCCTACTCATTCCTTCCCCTCCTCTGTCTCCTTCTGCGTTGTTAGAGAACTTCCCCCAGTGTGTGCTGGAGATCTCTGACCAGGAGGTGTTGGAATGGTACACTGCCAAGGACTTCATCGTGGGGAAGCCGCTCACCATCCTTGGCAGAACTTTCTTCATTTATGACTGTGATCAATTTACTCGCCAGTTCTACAAAGAAAAGTTTGGGATCCCCGATTTACCACGCATTGATGTAAGCAAGCCGGAACCACCTCCCGTAAAGCAGGTAATGCAGTGGGCGTTCTGAGGGTGGTGAGAAAACAGTATTCTTCCCTAGAAATTCAGACGAGAAAGAACGGCCATGTGAATACAGTACTTAGTAAAAGTGGCCAAGGCGTAGGTAGTGGAGTGGGTCACAAAAGAATAAAACAAACACTGGGCACTGTTTAAAGAACCTCAGGCCAGCTGGTGATCCAAGAACTCAAATGACCACAGTAAAGTCTATTAAAATCTGTCCAGTGGGGGACAGTGCTCCTTCAGTTCCTCGGAAAGTCATCGCTGCTGTAGGGGGAGGGGCTGGCCACCAGAGGGGACGTGAAAGAACAGCGGCCACCTCCTGTTGTCTGTGCCTCTCAATCAGAAGTAGCAGCCCCTGATCAGAGCCCAGATCACCACTGCTTAGAGGACGCACCCCTTGGGTGCCCGGGACCACGTTTGTAATATATAGACATTGGTTTTGAATGTGCTTTACATAAGTCTTTAAGGAAACTTAGTTATCTTTAATGTAATTCAACCCATTGCTTGCCGCATTTCTCTAGGAGTTACCTCCGTATAATGGGTATGGACTAGTTGAAGATTCTGCTCAGAACTGCTTTGCTCTCATTCCGAAGCCTCCAAAAAAAGATATTAAAATGCTGCTGAGTGATAATGAGGTGCTTCGTTACTTGGCTACACTGGTAAGGCTAATTTTAAAATTGTATTATTCTAATTAGTACATATTGGTTATACAAAGTAGTGTGTTTCATTTTGGTATATTTGTGTGTATATATGTAACATACTTTGACCACCATACCCCCAGAGCCCCTTGCTTTTTCTTCTTTCTCCCCCATCTCCTCCCTCCTCTACTTTCCTGTCATCTATTTAAAATATTTTTTCAGAGTTTTTGTTGTAGAGCCTTCTACTTCCTTGGTTATGTTTATTCCTCAGTGTTTAACTTTTATTTCTTTTTTTTTGTTGTTTAACTTTTCTTGGTGCTATTGTGAATGGTATTTTTTCTCAGTGTACCGAAATACTATTGATTTTCTGTTCTGTTACATTACTAGATTTTTTACTGTTAAGGTTTGTGTCTAGCTGTCCCTCTAAAGCCTCATGTAAAAAAGATTATGGGGCAGACATGACTGGAGGAGCAAGGAGTGGCTTGAGGGGTGGGGCCAGAGGACCAGGGAAGGGCTGAGGGGCAAGGCCAGAGAGGCGTGAACCATTAACTGGCTAGCCTGTGCTTTCTTAGAGATGTGGAGAGGATCATCCTGGACATAGCAGATCCCCAGTCTCTCCTCCAGTATCTTGAAGCCTTCAGTAACTGTGAGCTAAATAAACCTTTCCTTCCCTCATTTTGAGTGTCAGGTATTTCTCCCAGCAATGAGAGAAAAGTAACTAATACAGAATTTGGTACCAGGAGTGGGATCATTACTGTGGCTATACCTGATAATGTGGATTACAAGCTTTTGGGAATGGCTTATGGGAAGAGATAAGAAAGGTTTGGAGATGTTGCCTACAAGTGAAGCACTGGAACAGCTTTGGCTGTTCTGTAGGGAAGATTCTGGTCAGAGCTCAGACCAGAAGACTGATAGAAAACCTTCCTGTAAGGACCAGGCTAGGGAAGTTTCTGCTGGGAAGAAGGACTGAATTTTGCCCATGTCCAGGGACTTTGCCTGAGACTGAGATTAAGCATGGTAGACTGACTAATCTTTCAAAGGAAATCTCAAAGCAATGAAATATTGGAGTAGTGTCATGGTTATTGTTGGGGGCTCTTAGTCAGATTTATGTTGAGAATGAAGAGCAAAGAGCTTAGCAGTATGATCTAAAATGTGTTTGGTCAGAAAGAAAGCTCCAATAAAACTGTGGAAAGCAAAGATAGAGCTGAGCGGATCTCCATTGCTGAGAAGGAACAGGAGAGTAGAAAAGATGTCCTGCGGGCATCATAGGAGGTGGGAGGTTCTCACCCTTTGCAGCCTCAAAATCACAAGGGTAAGAGACTTTGCTCTGAGGAGAAAGCCACAGAGCCCCATGTTCCAGAATGGAGGCAGCGGCCACACAAGCTTCCACAATGGCGGTGGCGGCCACACCTGAATACAGAATGGCATCAGCATAGAGAATTTGTTTCTTGGAATCAAGGTCAGAGTGCTCAGCGATCCAGGCACTGGACCCCTACATCCCAGAGAGGAAAGCCTGGCTACTGCTCCAGCTGGCAGCAGACCTTGGCATCATCCACACGGTGCTGGTTTTAGGCAGGTGCAGAGTGCAGGAGTTCTGAGGCTAAGAAGGCTTCCACCTCAATTTCAGAAGAAGGTCTGGGAGGCCAGGCAGTGTGCCCCTGAGAGGGCAGCGTGTGAAGCTGTGAGTGAGAAGCCTATTCAGTGCAAACCCCAGAAGTTTGGAAAAACGAGGAGCATGGATCATCTAAGGGAAACTGCAAGGAGGGAGCAAGGCCAGCCTAAGAGAGAATCCACGGGAGCTACCACCAAGAGTGCCATAGCGGTCGAGCCACAGGGAGCTCACAGTTTGCCACACATTGCTTCGGATGTTCCACATGGAACTATAGGACTTAATGTTTGCCCTGCTGGGTTTTGGGCTTGTTTTGGCCCCAGTCGATTGTATCCTTCTGTGTGTACCTTTTGTAATAACACTGTTTATCTTGTGCCTTTGAATGTTGGATTATTTAACTTTTTATTTGTACAGGGGCTCACAGCTGAGAGTTTGCCTTGGATCTTGGAAGAAACTTGGGACTTGAAACTTTTCAGCAATGCTGAAACTGTTGGGACTTTGGCAACTCTTAGAGATGGACTAAAATGCCTTTTGGACAAAGGGATGTGCATGAGGCTTTGGGGGTCCAGGGGAAGAATGTTATGGTTTGTGTCTAATTATCCCTCCAAAGCCTCATGTAAGTTATGGGGGCAGACAGAGCTGGAGGAGCAAGGAGTGGCTTGAGGGGCGGGGCCAGAGGATTGGGGGCCGGGCCGAGGGGCGGGGCCAGAGAAGCACAAACCAATAAACTGGCTGGCCTGTACTTTCTCAGAGATGTGGAGAGGGTCGCCCTGGACACGGCAGCGCCCCAGCCTCTCCTCCAGTGTCTAGAAACCTCCACTAACTGTGAACTAAATAAACCTTTCCTTCCCTCACTTGGAGTGTCGGGTATTTGTCCCAGCAATGAGAAAAGAGTAACTAATACAGTTATTATCCCTTTTAGCGGATTTTTTGATCTTTATGTAGAGGATCCACTAAAAGGGTTAATAACTGTATTAGTTACTCTTCTCTCATTGCTGGGA